TCTTATGGTATTACTATTTCACTCAACAAGTATCTTTGTCTTTTCTTAATATTACTTAGGAGTTGAGCATAATAACATCACCTAACGTTGTTTACCATTTCAAATAAACTGCGAAAAATAAATGTTGAGTGATCCAATCCCTTACAAATCATGGCTTTACAACTCCGTCCTCGATAGTCAGTGAAGAATTCGGTATGGCGGCTCACGCTCCTCTACGTTGTGCTTCCTGTTGTATTGTCTTTTGCCCAAGTTGTTCAACAACACTTTCAACTAAATGAATTTATTGTTCTTCTAAAGAGTTTTTGTTATAAATATAACCCTAATAAAATGGTAAACTAGATGTGTCACATCCCGGCCCGGGGTGGACCACTTCCCGGGCCCGCTCCACCACCGTAGCACGATATTGTCCGCTTTGGGCCCCGACCACGCCCTCACGGTTTTGTTTCTGGGAACTCACGAGCAACTTCCCAGTGGGTCACCCATCCTGGGAGTGCTCTGGCCACCTTCTCGCTTAACTTCGGAGTTCCTACGGAACCCGAAGCCAGTGAGCTCCCAAAAGGCCTCGTGCTAGGTAGGGATGGGAATACACATTTAAGGATCACTTCCCTGGGCGATGTGGGATGTTACAATCCACCCCCCTTAGGGGCCCGACGTCCTCGTCGGCACACCACAGCCAGGGTTAGGCTCTGATACCAACTGACACACCCCGTCCCGAAGGAGGGCATGCTGGCCGTCACGTGAGAGTGACGTAACCATTTGCACAGTACGGAAGCTTTAATTATACAACTTCAAAGTGAATACACCCGAAGGTGCGTCCTAATGGTCCATTCTGTCAGAACACCGTCGAATTCCTCGTAGTCACCACACCTTTGTGATTCCTGAACCTGGAGGGGTGCAAAACCAAAATTGAGTGGGTCAGTAAAACAAATCTTTTCAAATCCAAACATTTCTCAAAACGTTGTAACCCCTCTCCGTAAAACCTGTATACTTTCCCAGAAATGTAAAATATAAATATACATATATATTCTCAATACTTCAATTCATTAACTCAACATTTTTCAGTACAAATATGCCATGCCATGTCTAAATTCAACAGTATAATATGAATGCATCAACATAAATCAGGTGAAAGAAAATAATCAACCGGAGACCCTACAATGGTCCTGTACGGTTGAATCTAGAGCTCAAAATATCATCTAACCGGAGTCACCAACTGTGACCTGTACGGCCATGCCGGAGTCACCTAGTATGACCTGTACGGCACTACACTGCACATAAGTCGGAATTACCTAATGTAATCTGTACGACTTAATGGTGTAATAATATGCTCTAGTGCTTTTCTCATCAATCATCTGTGCACATAATCTAAGGTCACCTACCAGTCGGAACCCCTCTAATGGTCTGTACGACTGGCATGTCGGAACCACCCCCGGTGGTCTGTACGACTAGCATCTACTTGGATCCAAGGTGAGCATACGATGCGGTGAATAATAATAATAAGCACTAATACCAAGGTGCAGTTTATGAGCTCAGCATATCTCAACATCATCATAACAGTAATAATACTCACCTGATACTCACCTGTGCGTCCACAGCACCATTTCATATATATATGCATCATATCTGGATTCATACTTTTCATATCATTTCATGCATGGCAAATCGATTCACATTTCTATCTACTTTTCATATACTTTTATACATTTTCATTAAAAGCATAATTTCATGCATTTTCAATTTCTGGGAAAACGGCAAGTATATATGTATATGGAAAACAAAACTGCCCACTCACCTGGAGTTCGTCCAACAACTCCCTAGCACCACACATCAAGGCGTCACGACGATCGCCGCCTAGAATAGTAATCAAATCCAACCATACTCCAACAATAACTTCGGGTAAATCTCTCTCATCCGATTCTCTTTCTCCCACATAATTTTCTACTGAATGATTTCCTTCACAAAGCTTTTACCACTTAATCTGTCTTAATTCTTAGGACCTTCTTTTTCCAATCCAAAGTCGTCATTCAATTCTATAATCAACTTCACCAACCTTTCGATGATCACGCTAAGTCTGATTCATTTAGGATTTAACTTAATCACCTGAATACTTTGAGGAGACTCATCCATAGTCTCAGGGTCTACTAAAACTCTTTCTTGATCGAATCTTTCTCTACCCAGAAACATTCCATTCACAAGTCATCAAAAACCGACTCACGTGACACATTTCATGGTCCTTATGGAGTTACTTCGGAAACTGCACAACCAACATACTTAAGAAACTTAGCAGTTCCGTAATCCAATTCTCTTTTCCATAAAACAAATAAGTAGTGTTGCACTGTCTGGGAAAGGTTGTTACTCAACACTGGAGTAAATGTACTAACTTGTTACTTAACAAGTATAACTTCTTCTCGATCTTTCATTCTTAACTTTACTTTAGTTGGTTTCCAATCCACAAGAAGATAATCATGGCAAGCGTACCAGATATTAATTCTTACTGCAGTCTTCTTATCAAGTGCTTCAATCGTACAATTGTGGTAGCTGAAGCACTTGATAAGAAGACTGCAGTAAGAATTAATATCTGGTACGCTTGCCATGATTATCTTCTTGTGGATTGGAAACCAACTAAAGTAAAGTTAAGAATGAAAGATCGAGAAGAAGTTATACTTGTTAAGTAACAAGTTAGTACATTTACTCCAGTGTTGAGTAACAACCTTTCCCAGACAGTGCAACACTACTTATTTGTTTTATGGAAAAGAGAATTGGATTACGGAACTGCTAAGTTTCTTAAGTATGTTGGTTGTGCAGTTTCCGAAGTAACTCCATAAGGACCATGAAATGTGTCACGTGAGTCGGTTTTTGATGACTTGTGAATGGAATGTTTCTGGGTAGAGAAAGATTCGATCAAGAAAGAGTTTTAGTAGACCCTGAGACTATGGATGAGTCTCCTCAAAGTATTCAGGTGATTAAGTTAAATCCTAAATGAATCAGACTTAGCGTGATCATCGAAAGGTTGGTGAAGTTGATTATAGAATTGAATGACGACTTTGGATTGGAAAAAGAAGGTCCTAAGAATTAAGACAGATTAAGTGGTAAAAGCTTTGTGAAGGAAATCATTCAGTAGAAAATTATGTGGGAGAAAGAGAATCGGATGAGAGAGATTTACCCGAAGTTATTGTTGGAGTATGGTTGGATTTGATTACTATTCTAGGCGGCGATCGTCGTGACGCCTTGATGTGTGGTGCTAGGGAGTTGTTGGACGAACTCCAGGTGAGTGGGCAGTTTTGTGTTTCCATATACATATATACTTGCCGTTTTCCCAGAAATTGAAAATGCATGAAATTATGCTTTTAATGAAAATGTATAAAAGTATATGAAAAGTAGATAGAAATGTGAATCGATTTGCCATGCATGAAATGATATGAAAAGTATGAATCCAGATATGATGCATATATATATGAAATGGTGCTGTGGACGCACAGGTGAGTATCAGGTGAGTATTATTACTGTTATGATGATGTTGAGATATGCTGAGCTCATAAACTGCACCTTGGTATTAGTGCTTATTATTATTATTCACCGCATCGTATGCTCACCTTGGATCCAAGTAGATGCTAGTCGTACAGACCACCGGGGGTGGTTCCGACATGCCAGTCGTACAGACCATTAGAGGGGTTCCGACTGGTAGGTGACCTTAGATTATGTGCACAGATGATTGATGAGAAAAGCACTAGAGCATATTATTACACCATTAAGTCGTACAGATTACATTAGGTAATTCCGACTTATGTGCAGTGTAGTGCCGTACAGGTCATACTAGGTGACTCCGGCATGGCCGTACAGGTCACAGTTGGTGACTCCGGTTAGATGATATTTTGAGCTCTAGATTCAACCGTACAGGACCATTGTAGGGTCTCCGGTTGATTATTTTCTTTTCACCTGATTTATGTTGATGCATTCATATTATACTGTTGAATTTAGACATGGCATGGCATATTTGTACTGAAAAATGTTGAGTTAATGAATTGAAGTATTGAGAATATATATGTATATTTATATTTTACATTTCTGGGAAAGTATACAGGTTTTACGGAGAGGGGTTACAACGTTTTGAGAAATGTTTGGATTTGAAAAGATTTGTTTTACTGACCCACTCAATTTTGGTTTTGCACCCCTCCAGGTTCAGGAATCACAAAGGTGTGGTGACTACGAGGAATTCGACGGTGTTCTGACAGAATGGACCATTAGGACGCACCTTCGGGTGTATTCACTTTGAAGTTGTATAATTAAAGCTTCCGTACTGTGCAAATGGTTACGTCACTCTCACGTGACGGCCAGCATGCCCTCCTTCGGGACGGGGTGTGTCAAGATGTGTAGACATGCCACCATTGAATGAAAAATTTGTTGTGATGTCATCATATAGGTAATTATTTTTTTATTTTTTTTAAAACAACGATATTATCGTCACCAAGAGAAGGGAATAATATAGTTCAAATTCGCCTTTAGCGAAAATCAAACATAAGACCTCTCATTTATAAGTTAAGAGGAATACTACTAAATCGTAGTAATAGGTGGCGTCATCATACAAGTGTTTGAATTATATAGGTATTTTATATAGAGAAATGCTGATGAGACTCTCTCAAAGTGTGACTTTTATATGGACCGCCTCATTTTTTGGCACAATGTTATGTAATTTTGATACGAAAATTAACGTTAAACTGTGAATTGACAGATAATTCATGGATGGTCACACTTTTTAAAAAACCTCTTTAGCATTTCTGTTATATAAACAAGATTCCCAGATTTCGAAATTTATGGCAATTTTCAATATTACAATTACTAAGGGTAAATAAAACCGGCCAAACATTATGCGATAAAAAATGAAAATCCCTATATTTGCGTTGACTTCTTACAATATTACTTGAAGAGCAAGCCAGGAGGTCAAACTCGTAATTTTGGATACACCCAGGGGCAAACAAGTAAATCGACAAAGCGGCCTCCGAACAAACCCTAGATAATTTCCCAAAGCCCCTCAGCCTATAAATAAGTCATGTTGCGACTCACAAACACTACGCTTTCATTTCTCACTGCCTCAGCCGCTCTCGCTTGAACCAAGAGTTTGAGCTTCCAGATCTCTGAGGTATTATCCTTCTCCTCCACGATTCGCTTTCGGTTTTCTGTAGATTTTAGACTGCAATCGTTGTTCGTCGCTGCCCTTTGGTTACGTTTTCGTTCATCTGGATTTGTTTATGGCTCTATCGATGCATGTTTCTTTCGTTTGTCCTTAATTAAAATTCAAGAACTTGATGATGATGTTTCTTTAGTTTAATGCGGTAGATCGATTGACTAAAACCAAATTTAAAACCAAATTTAAAGCTTTATTGTCTTTTTTTGGTTGAATGCTTTATGGATAGTAGACGAAAATCTGTGGACTAAACCCAGATGGGTATTTTTTGATGATATAGACCCGATTGATTTTGTACAAAGTTTGGTTTTACAATAAATCACAGATATGTTCATATGAATCAACTATAGATTTTTTTATTAATTAAAATTTAAAAATTAATTATTAATTAAAATGAAGAATTGTTTTTAAGAACAAACTTACTATATGATATTAAATTTGAAAGAGATTACAATTATTTTCATTTGGGATTATTTTTTTATTATTCTGATATTGTTTTGTGGGATGAATTGTTGATTTAATTCATAATGCATTTTGTGTGTAGGTAAATTAACATGGGTAAAGAGAAGTTTCACATCAACATCGTGGTCATTGGCCATGTCGACTCCGGCAAGTCGACCACCACTGGTCATCTTATCTACAAGCTTGGAGGTATTGACAAGCGTGTGATTGAGAGGTTCGAGAAGGAAGCTGCTGAGATGAACAAAAGGTCATTCAAGTATGCCTGGGTGCTTGACAAGCTTAAGGCCGAGCGTGAGCGCGGTATCACCATTGATATCGCCTTGTGGAAGTTTGAGACCACAAAGTACTACTGCACGGTGATTGATGCTCCGGGACATCGTGATTTCATTAAAAACATGATTACTGGAACATCACAGGCTGACTGTGCTGTCCTCATCATTGACTCCACCACTGGTGGTTTCGAAGCTGGTATTTCCAAGGACGGACAGACCCGTGAGCACGCTCTTCTTGCTTTCACCCTCGGTGTGAAGCAGATGATTTGCTGCTGTAACAAGGTCTAAATCCCACTTTAATTTACCGTCTTTGAGTATTATGATTATGTTATTGTGTTATTTCTGACTTTTTTGTGCAGCTGGTTCTATCCGATAAAGGGATCCTCCCATAGTTCAAATGCCTCTTGTGGTGCTATTGATTGGCATTTGTGGGCATCAATGATGCCCCAAACTATGGGTAGTGTCCACTTTATTAGGAGATGTTTGGATTTATGAATTGGAGGGATTGCCTGGTGGCGTAGTTTTTAGTTAAACTATTGAGGGTTCGATTCCCTCTCTCTCCTACAATTTATTAGTGGTTTATCTAAACCTTCAGTGCTTTGTATTGATATGGCATGCAATTATTTTAATTGAATTTGCTATGTTTTAGCGTCTGCATTGTTGAATTTTCACAAGTTTTTTGTTATTCTGTATTGGTTCCTTTTTTATTTGTGCACGGGTTTGGTTTGGTTATTGTAACAATCTACCGGTGTGGGCTAGTAACATGTCATTTTTTTCTTAACTTTATGCATCTTGATCCGTAACTTAGAAAAAGCGTGTAATGATCTATAAATTTGTAGTGTTTATACTCTAGATGATGCCAAATAACTGTTTTCTGCTATATGTTTGTGCCTCCTGACTGGTTGTTATTCACTTGTAAAACTGCTTTTGTTGTACTGGTTTACTGAATTTGATTGTGTACTTATTCCCTTGGTTGTATTGCTTCTTGTAGATGGATGCCACCACTCCTAAGTACTCTAAGGCAAGGTACGAAGAAATCGTGAAGGAAGTTTCATCCTACCTGAAGAAGGTTGGGTACAACCCTGACAAAATCGCCTTTGTTCCCATCTCTGGGTTTGAGGGTGACAACATGATTGAGAGGTCCACCAACCTTGACTGGTACAAGGGACCAACCCTTCTTGAGGCTCTTGACCTGATCAACGAGCCCAAGAGGCCCTCAGACAAGCCCCTCCGTCTTCCTCTTCAGGATGTGTACAAGATTGGTGGTATTGGAACTGTGCCAGTGGGACGTGTAGAGACTGGTATCGTCAAGCCTGGTATGGTTGTGACTTTTGGGCCAACTGGTCTGACCACTGAAGTTAAGTCAGTTGAGATGCATCATGAGGCTCTTCAGGAGGCACTCCCTGGTGACAATGTCGGGTTCAATGTTAAGAATGTTGCTGTGAAGGATCTCAAGCGTGGTTTCGTCGCATCCAACTCCAAGGATGACCCTGCCAAGGAGGCTGCCAACTTCACATCTCAGGTTATCATCATGAACCACCCTGGTCAGATCGGCAACGGATATGCCCCAGTTTTGGATTGCCACACTTCGCACATTGCCGTGAAGTTCGGTGAGATCCTTACCAAGATTGACAGGAGGTCTGGAAAGGAGATTGAGAAGGAGCCAAAGTTCTTGAAGAACGGAGATGCAGGTATGGTGAAGATGCTTCCCACCAAGCCCATGGTTGTGGAGACCTTCTCTGAGTACCCACCATTGGGTCGCTTTGCTGTTCGTGACATGCGACAGACTGTTGCAGTCGGTGTTATCAAGAGCGTTGAGAAGAAGGATCCCAGCGGTGCCAAGGTCACCAAGTCTGCTGCCAAGAAGAAGTGAACAGTGGCCAGAACTCAAACTTTCACAGACGCAAACGTATGCTTTTATGATACGAACTCACATCTTAGTTGTGTGGTTTTAAGTGGTTTAGTCAGTTTAGTTTGTAATTGTTTTAATTCCGGTCTGATGTTTTCATTCTCGAGTGTCCACTACCAGAATTGGGTGCTGGACAGGCGGTGGTGACACATCTGATTTATTATGCTTTCGGTCGCTTCCGCCTTCGGGAGGAGGATGTTTTTGAGTTGTTAAGACTATTTACTTTGCAAGTTTTGTTGCGTCTGTTGAAGGGATAATTTTTGAGCTTATATATTTGTGTTGCCTTGTCTTCATCTTCTATTCGTTTTTTAAGTATTGCTGATTCTTTAGGTTTGTGTATTTACTGAGATAATGCATGCTTAGCATCCTTAAGTGGGTATCGTGGTGCGTATTGTTCTATTAGAGCTTTTTGAAAAGCACTTTGTTCGGAAAGCAATCTGAATAGGGTTTTAATATAGGCTTTTAAAAAGGGATTTGGATTCCATTCAAATTCAAATTGTGAGGATTCTAGGGATCCTTACAATTTGAATCTGATTGGAATCTAACCTCGCAGTTTCTCCTTTTGATTGATGACTCTGGGAAGAAAGATTGTGTGGCAAGCAAACAAAACAATTGTGATATGTAGCTGCGACTAACGTTTCTCGGCATTGCCAATTAGCCGGGAGGGAGGTCGATACCCTAAACCCTAAACCCTAAACTTGGTTGTGTTAAAAGTCTACAACTTAGAGGATTAATATCCTAATACATGATAACGACCCAAGCGTCCATGATGCTATCCAAAAGAATTTTCTTAAGTTAATCCTAACCTTTCAGTAACTTAATATTATTATTATCAAATGTATTAAGTTAGTTCAGGAGATTTACACCAAAAAATCCTAATCTTCCTTTTTTTTTCTTTTGTTGTTTCATTCATTCTCTATTTTCTCAATAAATTCTTAAGATGGATAAAATTCAATACTTAGTAATGAGAACACCAACGCCAAAGCACTCTGCTGGGCCTACACTAACACTAGTTATGTTTTCTCCAAGACACTCTTTATCATCTACCTTAACATTTCACTCTGATCAAATGGCAATTCGTAGAATTTGGGATCTTTTGTTTCATTTCTTCTGGAACAATCACAAACACTTTTTTTTTATTATGGATCTACTACCAGAAAAATTCAATGCGTAATTTTAACATTCAATGGTTATTCTTGAATAATCTCATTTTTCAATTATTCAAACCATTTCATTTTACCAAGTTCAATGTTAGTCAGATTAGTCAACATTTATATGTTTTCAATTTTGTTGATGTTGGTGGCAAACCATGTTGGGTCTATAAAATTTATCATGGTATTAGAGCAAACTATTCTTTTGACACTCCTGAGCCCGATTTACTGGGCTCGAATTTACCTCCTTAAGTTGGGCTTTGGAAAGTTGCCCTAGCTCCAACTTAAGGATATTAAATGAATGGACCCTCGAAAGTTGTGTTGGCTCTAGTCCCTAAACCAGGCACTTGAAAAGTTTCCTTAGCTCAAGTATAATGACTTGACCAGTTCTCGATGTGGGAAGTGGTTTCCCTTGTGATCCCGTGTGGGGCCACTTATGGGAGGGTGCGTTGGAGAATAGGATCACACATTAGGCATATGACAAAATAATATACAACTAATTTATTGGAGTGACAAGAGTATCCAGTCTAGATCTAACAATTTCTTATACAACCCGTTAACACAACATGTAAACGACACGAAAATAACGGGTTTCGGGTCAACACGATAACTAATCGGGTTGTTATCAAGTCACACGACAAGAACCTGTTAATAACGGGTCCTTAACAAGTTTACACGAGGATGACAAGCGGGTAACCTATTCGACACGTTAAGAAAAAAGTTATTTTGATGATTTTAGTTTCTTAAACTACTAAAACACTTGCTATAAAATACAATAGACAGTGTGTGTATAGATATATATTGCATATTAGAATATATATTCTTGTATTATTATTCTACATAAATGATCAAAATGCCCTTGAGATGCCACGTAGCCCTTACACGTGGACCTCAATTTTCTTTTCACTTTTCCACTCTTATTTTACTATTTCTGAATAGTACTCATTTTTTACGAATACGTGGACGCAAACGGAATTAAATTTGGAATTTATATGATTTAGTTACATTTTCTTTTTAGACAATCTCCAACCTTTGGCCTCAAACCTAAAATTTTTAGCCCAGAAAATTTAGGTTTTAGCTCAGAAACAACTTTTCTACTCCAACCCTTCTGGCCTAAAATTTTAGCATCAGATTATTAAATAATGAATTTGGGCTAATTTTTTCTTAAATTAACTTTAAAAAAATAATTATGTAGACTATCTTAAATTAATTTTATGAACATTTTAATCCAAAAATATTTAAATTCCAATAAATATTGAAAAATCACTAAATCGATACATGAAACTCACGAAACACTATGAAAGAATATGAAAATCATGATAGATATGTATAAACACAAAATACATGAAACACAAGACACATATAACATATGTGAAGGACATACAAAACACATGTTAAGGACATACAAAGCACATGATAGAGATGAAGCACATACATAACACATGTGAGACACATGACACACACGAAACACATACTAACATACATACAAAACACATGAAACACAAACCTACACATATGAAACTGAAACCTTCAATCATCCTTTATATAAACACAGGTTGAATATCAAACCATCACACAACATTCAAACCTTCAATCATCCTCTATATTCACCAATCTTCAAACTTTCAAAGTGTTTTTGTTTCCTAAAAATCATCAATATCTCATCAATGGGTGATAGAAGAAGGCGTAGCTTGGCAATGCAAATGATACAATACTAAGCAAGCCATGCAACTGCCAATGCAGAAATGAACGCAGAAGAAGCCGAATTTGCAAATTCGCTTATTCAATATTAGCACCATGCCGAATCTAGCCATAATGGTTCTGTAATGGGGCATTCATTTGTGCAGTGTGATAGAGAAGAGTGTCATGATCGGATGATGACAGATTATTTCATCGAACGTCCGAGATATTCTTCTCATGATTTTCGGAGGCGTTTTCGGATGAAGAGAGAGCTTTTTGAAAGCATCTTGAACGCAGTTGTCCATCATGACCACTACTTTGCAAGGAAGTTAGATGTCGTAGGCCGACAAAGCCTATCACCTCATTAGAAGCTCACATCTGCATTTCAGATGCTAGCTAATTGAGATAAATAATTTTTTAAATTATTTTAGCCGTCGGATTTAAATTTGGGCCGTTAGATCTTTTTTTTTTTTTTTACCGTTAGATTTGATTATATTTGATCTAAACCGTTGGATTTAGTAAATATATAAATATAAAACAAACAAAAAAAATTTGAATGTAGATTGTTGGATTAAAAAACGGTCCAATTAAATTTGGCCATTGGATCGACAAAAGCAGTCGTTGGGCTATCGTTCCGTTTGATACGCAAGGGGACACGCCCACGTGGGTGGGCTCCCATTGTGATTCGACCTAGCGCGTGTTGCGCGTTGGACGAGTGAGCGCTCGGCGTCTGGGCTTCACATTCCACTTTACACTCTCACCGGTGGGCCCCACGTCCATTTCTAGGGAGGTGGGGGCGGGGTGGGGGTGGGGTGGGGTGGGGGGTTTTGGGGATTTAGGTTTTTTTTTAATAATTTTATTTTAATAGGATAAATTATTATAATATTTTAAATGCATAAATTTTTTTTTTGCCACGTGGCACAAAATTTGCATCAACGTTGGCGCTTAATGGACCAATGGATGGAAAATGTAACGGATATATGAAATTGAAATAAAATAGTAAGTGAGGTATGAAATTGAAATGTTTTAAATATTTTGTAAGAAATTGAAATCGATCTCAAACCTGAGGGGGGTAAAATGTAATTTACCCATAAATAATTTACCCCTATAGTTCATGCAATTTTGTACGTTGGCCTTATTTTTGTAGATAGGCACCAAAGTGCTTTTTAGCCACTCATTTGGCATCTTCTTCGTTTTGAAAATCCTATTGAAAAGGTTTGTGAGCCATGCTAGACCCGTCTCTCCCAAGACTTTCAACACTTCTATCAGTATATCATCTAGGCCCACTGCTTTTCTACGCTTCATATTTTCAAAGCTACAACCACTTCTTCCTTCCTAATTTGGCGGTAAAAGGAGTAGTTTCTACACTATTCTGAGTTACTCAACTGGCCCAAAGAAATACTCTTTTCATGTCCTTCATTGAAAAGATAATGAAAATAACCTCTCCATCTGTCTTTGACCGCGTTCTTTGTAGCAAGAACTTTTCCATTCTCATCTTTGATGCACCTCACTTGGTTTATGCCCCTTGTCGTCTTTTCCCTTGCTCTAGCTAGTTTATAGATATCCAACTCTCCTTCTTTGGTATTTAGTTGCTTATACATATCGTAAAAAACCACTAACTTAGCTTCTCTCACAACTTTCTTCGCCTCATTCTTTTGCTATTCTATACCCTTCACCATTTTCTTTGGTCCTATCCTTGTATAAGGTTTTACAACATTCCTTCTTAGCCTTACCTTTGTATGTACCTCCTCCATCAACCACCAAGATTCCTTGGTGTGGAGCAAAGCCCTCGGACTCTCCTAATACATCTTTTACTACTTTTCGGATACTACCAGTCATGGAATCCCACATTTGGCTCTCATTTAATAATTAAAAATAATTTTCACATGCCCACTTAGCTTCATACATATCCATATTTAATTTGGTGATTTATTTCGTTTGATTTATTCAATCCTATGACCCCAAATAAAAAGGTGTACATGAAAAACTAAAAAATGTGTGTGAAAATCAATTCCCTTAATATTCCTTGATCTTGATAAGTGTTTTGTCTTCAGACTGTAGATGAACAAGTTCGGAGCTTGAAAAAGCAGAGCACATTTCTTAGTCAGTTAGCTGCCAAGACCATCCCAAATGGAATCCACTACTTATCTGTGCGCTAACCATAGATTATTACCTCCTCCCCCTTGAGAAGAGAAAGTTCCCTAGAAGTGAGAACCTGGAAAATCCAAATCTTTATCATTCCGCTCTCTTCTCAGACAACGTCTTGGCTGCATCAGTCGTCGTCAACTCTACTGTCATAAATGCCAAGTTGAGCTGAACTGTTACTCTATGCTGGTAGTTTCCTTGCGCGTATCTTTGTGTCTGTTTCCAAAAGAACTGAAAAACTGTCACAAACGCCATGGTGACTCTGTTCAGGAATGTCGAGGTCCAAGGCATTTCAACTTCTATGAGATGTCAATTTC